ATCTGATTCCATGTGGAAGCAGAGGTTGGCAAGGGAAGGACAAAAGAACCTTGAATCTAACGTGGTAGTGAAAATGGACGGTATCTCTATAAGACAGAGTCCAGCCTTGGAATTGGTAACGGTTGAGGATTTGAAAACTCGTAAACAAGCTACTGTCTGTGCTGATGCAAATTACCTGACTGTCTGGCGGGAGAGAGTTACTCCTCACTTAACGTCGTCCCGTTTAATGTTGTTTCATTGTTATGTTGCTGATCAATTAGGGAACATGCTCGTTTAAAGTTGCGCAATGCTCCCTTATAACGTTGTTTGGCAGCTGCCTGCTTTGTCCACTGCTTGCAGGAAGAGCAACCCATTGGAGTGAGCTGGTGGGGGCTTGGAACCAGGGTGGAACAGCAGCCCCCCATCAGCTCCCCTAAATTCCCTGTGCGGAAGCCGCCAAGCAGGCTATCAGTTGCTGGGGAATTCAGCTGTCCCTCCCCCCACATCCGTGTGCTGCTTCTGCCCTCTGCCTTGGAGCTGTCCCCCTCCCCCCGCTCCTGTACCCCATCTCCTGTACCTTATCTCCACGGGGGGGGGGGCGACACTACAGGGCTCAGGACGGAGGGAGCTTGCTGGCAGCAGCTGCTGTCCTGATCTATTTACAAAGACAAGGTACTTAGAGTGGGGTCAATGTATTTAAAGGGGCAATGCTCGTCTCTCTCACACACACACTGTGTGTGTCTCTGTGTCATGGACTCACAGGTCATGCTCACTCTTGGCCCCGTACGGTCCCTGGGGGGAACCCCCTTCAGTGCGACAGCCCTTCTCAAGGGTCCACTCTCTCTCGGGGGTTAAGCCCCGCCACCTCCTGGAGCCGCACCTCTCTGAGCCTTAACATGTCTGTCTCTGTCGTGGGCCCCCTCAGGGAGTCCACTTGCTCTGGACCCCCGGGGTCTCCACTCCCAGAGGGAATAATGCAACCCTGTTCTCTAGCCTGGAGCGACTCTCAGCCAGCATAAAACAGGACGGGTTATTGAGCGTCTGAACACAGCACAGGAAACTCTCAGGGCCTCAGGCCTGGCCTTCCTCAGCACAGCTCATCTTAGACTTTCCTGCATCCAGGTGGGCTCTGCCTGCTCCCCCTCTCCAGCCCAGAGCCCCCCTGCTTCCCAGATGGGCACCTGATATCACCGGCCCCAAGCCCTGCCTCTGTCCATTGTCTTCTCTCCAGGTAAACAGGGTCACCTGGGCCTCCTCTCCTCTCTTCTGTCCTCTGGCCCCCTCTGGCTGGAACCGGCTGGTCAGGTCACCGGGGTCCTGTCCCCACAGCCCGTTGTCCTCCCACTGGGCAGAACCAGCTGTGACTCCCGAGCTGGGCCTGCTGTTCACCAGGTCACCAGTCGCTGGGGTCTCCATTCTCCAGGCCATTGGCTGGGGTCCCAAGTTCCCTCTCTGGTCCTCTGTAACAACAAACTCCCTCTCCCCTCACCTCGTTAAACCAGTAACACCCAAGGACACTGAACCCCACCCCCTCTGCATGCAACCCACTGGAAAAACAAGGAAAAAACAAGAAAATCCCGCACCTCGTCACACTCTGTCTCTCCTTCCCTCTCTCTCTCTCTCTCTCTCACACACACACACACAGGTTTGTGTCTCTGTCTCTCTCTCTCTCTCTCACGCTGCATTGTAGAGTGTGAGGCTCCATTAACAACACTGTGTTAACCCCTGAGGGCTCAGCCGAGTGCTAGTTCATCAATTAGCAGTAAGGCTCCCTGGGAAATATCCCACCCTCTGACTCCACCACCTCAACCAAGCTTCACAGTCATCATTGCTGTGTCCAGTTTTCAATTGTTTGTTTAAAACTTATACTGTGTGTGTGTGTGTGTGTGTGTGTGTGTGTGTGTGTGTGTATCTAAACTATAGTCTTTTGTCTGGTGAAAAACATTTCCCTGGAACCTAACCCCCCCTATTTACATTAATTCTTATTGGGAAATTGGATTCACTTCACATGGTTTTGCTGAAAGTAGCATTTTTCAGGAATAGAACTACCACGTTAAGTGAGGAATTACTGTACAATGAAAGAAGACATGAATGTTCAACAGATCAAGACTTTAAATGATGCCTCACAAGGCAAATTTGTACCCAACCAATCATAATTCTATCGTAGTGGGGAACACGGGGGCTCCGGGGAGCTAATTTGAGGTACAGATTGTCACACTGTGGAATCACCACGGCGCGGCCAGGGCCTGAGCAGGAGGCCTGGAACGTGTGAGGAAGAGACTGTGAACTTCCTTTCCCTTGCAGAGGCGGCTGTTTGTGGTGTCCCCGTGCCCACAGGGCGGGTGACTTGTTTCCTTTAACCTTCCCCATCTTTTCCTTATTTTTATGAGTTGCTGTTTAATAAATGGTACGTGCTCTGAACTCTATGTACTGATCAGTGGGTCAGGGAAGCATCGGGTGCAGAGAGTGCCCTGGAGTGGGGACACCCTCTCCCCTGACCATGACAAGACGGGGGGTGGAGCCCCCAGGGATCCGGGGTTGCCTTGCCGGGGTTATGAGGACTCTGCCACATGGGAGGGAGCAAGGGGAGCCCTCGAGGTCAGGCAGGCCTCTGGGTAAAGGGAGTGGGAGCGAGGACTCAGATCCTTTCACTAGCCAATCCCACCGGGGTGTGTATAAGCCAGGAAAGTTCCCCACAATAGCGGGACCATTCCCCCGCTTACACTAGGAGCGGGGTCAGCGGCCGCCCTGCCCATCCGTCCGGAGAGTGAAATGAACCGGTTCCTCCCCCCAAAGCCGAGCTGGTCTGGAAACAAGTGGCTCTGCTCCGGTGACTCCCGAGGAAACGAGACTTGGAGCCGGTCTGACTCCGGCTGTTGGCCACAGTCGCTCAGCCCCTGTTTCAATAGACAGGCTGGGTTTGATTCCTTGTCCGTGGGGTTAACCTGAAAGATTTGCCTTTGAACGGCTGCTGCTGGGGGTTTGCCCAGGAGCCGAGTAGAACCAGGGGCTTGGTTTGAAATGAGCCCCGGCCTGTGTAACGCTGGCGAGGGAGAGAGTTTCCAACCTCGCTGAGCCCTCTGGGCCTGTGAGACCCTCTGCAAAGAGCAGCCGGGTACAGGCGTTTGGGGGGGGGGGGACAGGCCAAGGGGGGTGGGGGGGAAGGGATTAGGGGGGGGCCGGGCTGAGATCACAGAGGGAGGGGGGACAGGAATTTGAGGGGACACAGAAAGGGGGCGGCTGGGTGGGTGGTGGAGTGCGACGGGACGGGCATTGGAGGGAGATGGGAGAGGGAGTTGAGGTGGAAGGGGAATGGGGGCGAGCGGGACGGGGGATGGGCTCCCCCCTCATGGAGTCGGAGTCAGCGGATGGGGTGTGTGTGGAGGGATTTGTTTTCTGGCTAAAACTCTGGCTGAGCTGGGGCACCTCTGGCCAGCTTGGGGGAGGTGGGGAGCCAGGGGCAGGTGACGCCCCCCAGTGCCCCCCATGGCATTGGGGCGGGTTCACCCTGAAATGCTCACAAGGGGGGAACCCAGGCCGTAGGGGGCAGCTTTCATTGTCCCTCCTTCCCCGCCACTGCCCTGCCCCCCTCAACCCACACCCCTCACCCCCACAATGTTCCCCCAGATTCTCCCACCCTCTGTATTCCCCTGCTTCTTACTGCTTCTCCCTGTCTAGGTCGGCACCATTTCCCTGAGGGCAGCCTGGCACCAAGCCCAATGGGGACACTGGGAGATGGCAGCGATCTTAACTGATGGTGGGGGATGGGCATTTGAGGGGAAACAGGGCAGGGGACAAGGGTGTGAGGACAGACGGGCTGTGGGGGGACAGGGTGTGCAGAGGGCAGGCTCGGGGAGATTCGAAGGGGGATAGGCCAGGGGGCAGGATGGGTGCCAGGGGGCCAGATGGGGTGCCTCTGCTAGACAGTGAATCTGCTGCTCATCCCCCTCCTGCTCTCTGGGGCTGAGAGCAGCTATGAGGGTACTCTCCTCAGCTGTTGGGGGGCAGCTGGTGAGCAGGGGGCTGGGAGATGTAAGAATCCCATTGGGACCATCGGCCGGGCTGAACCATCTTCTAACTCTGCCCCCAAGTCATGTGAGAATGGATGGGTGACCATCACACCCGGGTCCTGGCTCCCAGCCCCCTGCTCTAACCACTAGACCCCACTTCCTTCCTGGAGCCGGGAATAGAGCCCCCTGCTCTGCAGCTTTCTCCTGCCCTCTAGCCAATGGCGTATAAACAAAGCCAGTGTCACGTCCCTCTCTAGGGGCCTGGCCACATAACCACTGACAGTGTCTCCTCCAGCTCGGGGGCAGGGTCTCTGCGGGGGCATTAGAAGGTCCCTGGGTCTCTCCCGGCTGCTAACACGTTGGGGGCCCAGGATGGAATTTCTCCTTCCCTGATTTTCTTTTATTCCTCATTTAATTCACACACTGAGAAAAGCCCCTTAGAACCAGGCGTTACAGTGTAAACCCGTCATCACCGCTCAGCTATGGCGCAAGGGGCAGCAAACCCAGGTGTCCCCCATCGCGCCGCTCCTCACACGGTGCCACGGCTCGTGTCGCAAGTGGGCAGGTTGACAGACTGAGCGTGAAATGCCACAGTTACGGTTTCCTGAGCAATCTTAATTCTGCCCCTCATGCAGCTCCATTACGATGCCAGCCTTTAGCTGCATGATACTGTATTAATTTTACCTAAATGGGTCATCAGCCGCTTGAACCCAGAATGAAAGGGGGATGGAATTGTCATGGAAATCGCGGTCAGTGGAAGATTGAAGACCAGACTCTGTGGTCGCCTGGTTCCTAGCTCAGCCCAGTGCACCTTTCACAAGGCTGCAGGGTACATTGAGGGTGACCTGTCCCCCCTCTCCACAGAGACACAGACAAGCTGTGAGCTGCATGGCACTTGGCCAGGCTGACAGTCCCAGGGCTGGATTTTGCAGGGACCTTTGCTTTCTTTGACCGCAGTAGATTTCGCCTGCAGATTAGAGACAGCATGTGAGGGATGCAGGAAGAGACAAAACATTGTCGACTTCCTGTAGCTGGAGCCACTAGCTGAGTTCCTCATTCAGGGCTCGGTGGAGCTTGGCACCGGGGTGGTGGTGACAGCGCTGAGGGGCCCCTCGGTGCCCCTATTATGGCATCTGCTCCCATGATCGTCTTCCTTGGTGAGTATTGGAGACAGCCAGGGCTTGTGTCCATATGCGGGGCGGGATGTGAGACCAGGGCATGTGCCCATGGGGGGATGTGAGACCACCAGGGCATGTGCCCATGGAGGGATGTGAGACCAGGGCATGTGCCCATGCAGGGGGGATCTGAGACCAGGGTGTGTGCCCATGGGGCATGGAGGATCTGAGTCGCTCTGGGATCTGTTCACTAACGAGCCGTCTCCTCTCCAGGCTGCTGGCTGGCCGGGCAGAGCAGGGTGTCGGGACGTGAGTATCTGTGGGGCAGGGGAAACTTTAGTGTTCAAGATGGGGAGGGGGTAAGGGGGAGAGGAAAAGAGGAGCTGAGCCCTGAAACTTCACCTCAAAAATCAGTTCAACCTCTTTGTATTGATCCCAGGGGGCTGAGATCAGAACCTGGCCCTGCCCCCAGTGCAGTCCGGGGTGAGTCCTGATTGACGGGGAAGAGTGACCAGACCTCCCGTTTTTAAAAGGGACAGGCCTATATTTAACCCTCCTGCAGCTGTCCCAACTTTTTCTTAAAAACAGGCAAATTATCCCGTATTTTGTGTCTCCCCCCCCCCCGCCCCACATCAGTACTGGCCGGATCCCTGCTCACCAGCTGCCAAGGGTGAGTTGCAGGACCAGTGGCTGATGACGGGGGTGGGTGTGCAGGGCTGGTGGCAGGGAAAAGATGCAGCGTGTGGGGCCCGCCGCTCCCCTGCTGGTCCATCAGCCAGACCCCGCAGCACCAGCTCCTGGCCGGCAGTGCCCCGCCCCATGTCCCGTTTCTGTCCGGCAGGAGCTGCGGTGGCTGGTGGGTGCGGGCAGGTGCCAGGCAGCAGCCAGTTACGCGTCACCTCTGCTGCCCACCCATCGGCCTTTTACGTGCTCCCTCTCTGGCTGTCGTCTCCCTGCTTTGCCCCTTCATCCCCCAGCCCTGCTGCTGCTCCATATCCCCCCGGCGGAGTGCAGTCCAACCCAGCGCTGTGCAGAGAACCAGCCCCTGGTCGGAGCGCTCAGCTCACCCACAGCCTGGCCGGCAGGCTCCTCCCTTCCTCCCCCCACTGCCTCTGGCTGGGCCGGCGCCCTGGGAAAGCCCAAGATGGGGAGGTGGGGGGAAGGGATTTCCAGCCTGTTCCCACCCTGACCCTGCAGGCTCCACAGCAGCCCCCCAGGCAGGGGCTTATCACCCTCTTTGCCCCCCACCCCCTCACCCTGAGTCCTGCCCCTAGGGAGCACGGGGCTGCTCCGTCCCCTGGGCACCTCCCCTGCTGAGCCACCTCTCTGGCCGGGGTCACTGAGGCCCCTGCAGTCAGGTTCCCTGGGCCCTGGTACACAATGCAGCCTTAGGCCTTAACCCCTTCCTGCCCGCGCGGTAGCTGCGGGACAGGAGGCAGCTGGGTTATGTGGGTGGCCAGCAGCAGCCTGGGGGTGTTCGCTGCCTTTCCACACTGTGCGGGCAGGAAGGGACAAGCTGCTTCCATCCATGGGGGAGAGATGAGCTCTGCAAAGACACGGGCCAAGTCATCCCTCCCCCCCGTGACGTTATGAGTGTAATATAATATTTCATTGGAAGGTGACAGGGCCAGAAAGAGTTAATTAACTCACAGATTGACCTGAACCATGGCCGAACTTTAGAAATTGGTTAGGAAGATATGTAAATAAATAAAGCTTTGAAATGCAAGTGTGCATTGTTAGAGAGAGACGGGTAGTGTTTGCTCAGGTCTTGTAATGTAAGCAAACAAGTCTTGTCTATTGCTATAGCTTTAATTCAAAGGTCAAAAAAGGAATATTAACATTTATAATGAAACTTGAGTGAAATAGTATTATTGTCTCTATGTCTCTTTGAAGGTTGTGATAACCTGTATCTGAACTGTTTAATGGATAGATTAACCTGTGCTAATTGCCAGGATGTTTGGGAGAAGGAGAGTTAAGCCTATTGTTTTCTCAGGCCGAAAGGCTGCTGGGAATGTATAAGAACCCTGGGACACAATCCTTCTTCATCTCAGCTCTGCTTTGGGTTTCAAGAGGGGGAAACCTTAAGCCATAAGGATTGAGATCCCCAGTCACTGACTGGAGTCACCCTGAATATGGACATTGGACTATAACCTATGGACTATATCTCTAAAAGGACTTTTGGCAACTACAAGCTCATCTCTGCTATGTGTCTGAACCTCAAAAATTGAATTCAAGTCTGTATGTGTATTAATCTTTTAACCAACACTCTCTCTCTTTTCTTTTTTAATAAATTTTAGTTTAGTTAATAAAAATTAACTATAGCATGTATTTTGGGTAAGATCTAAGTCATAATTGGACCTGGGTATGTGGCTGATCCTTTGGAATTAAAAAAAACCTTTTCTTTTATATGATAAGATTTTCAGTAATCATCATCAAATCTAACATCTGTGTCTGGATGAAGGCCTAAGGCTGGGCACTTTAAGAAAACTGCATTGTTTGTATTTCTGAGTAACCAGTAAGGTACTATAAAAGCTGTTTAGTACTGGCTTGGTAAATCTAAGTATTGGTATATCCGCCAGCGTTTAGGGTTTGTCTGCTCCGTTCTGTTTGCAGTTCACCCTAATTAAGTGACCTCAGCTGGCTCCCACAGGCAGCACCGTCACAGTGGCGTAGTCGGCAGGATCCACAGAACTAGGTCAATTAAGCTTTGGGTCAAAACCCCACGCTATCCAAATTTGAATTTTGGTATTGAGAGTTTGGTTAGTTAAGGAGCAGTTGCAATGGATGAGAAAGAGCATATGAGGGCCTTGACAAAAAAGCCCTGGAAGATTTGTGTTCAGAAAAGGGGATAAGCTTTAGAAAGAAAGCTACGAATCAAGAATGGAGAGAGCTGTTAATGGCCAGTGATCAGGAGGCAGGAGCACAGCCCTTACCTGAGGCTACAGAAACTGCAGAAGCAATTAGAATGCAAAAGGCAGCAAATAAACTGCAACTTGAGCATGAACAGAAACTAGCAGATCTTCGATTGCTGGAAAAGCAAAAAAATAGCTAAATTAGAAAGAGAAGCTGCTGAGAGAGAGAAAGAAGCTGATGAAAGGAAGAATAAAGCTCAATAGATGCAACAGGAGATGGCCAGACTTCAGCTACGAGTATTGGAAGAGCAGAGAAAGTCACCACCGCCTGGTGCTCCACTTCCCCACCACCAGGAAAAAAACTGGGAAAGGATGTGTCCCATCTACAATGATGCTAAGAATATAGAGGAGTTTTTGGGTACCTTTGAACGCCTCTGCAATCTGTACCAGATCCCTGATGATCAGCGAATGCCTGTCCTGCTGACCAGACTGACTGGAAAAGCCAGGGAGGTATTTAATGAATTGGGGGAACAAAAAGCCTTGGATTATAAGTTGTTTAAGAATTCTGTGTTAAGGCGGTTCAAGGTTACTCCTGATTCTTACAGAGTTAAGTTTAGAAAGTTTAAGATGTCTAATGATTGTACTTTTGTAGAATGTGCTCATAAGCTGATGGGTTTTGTCAAAAAGTGGGTTATGGGAGCAAAGGCACATGGGAGTTTGAAAAAATTGCTGGATTTAATAACTTTGAAACAGTTCCTAGACATTGTGCCTGACCATGTGAGAGCAGCTGTGGGTAGGTCTACACTTACTTCCTGGTCCGGCGGTAAGCAATCAATCTTCTGGGATCAATTTATCGCGTCTTGTCTAGACGCGATAAATCGATCCCGGATCGATCCTGGAAGTGCTCGCCGTCGACGCCGGTACTTCCTGCCGCGTCTGGACCCGCGGTAAGTTCGAACTAAGGTACTTCGATTTCAGCTACGTTATTAACGTAGTTAGTTCGAAGTGGGGGGGTTAGTGTGGACCAGGCCTGTGTGTAATAGGGACCCTGAGTCAGTCCTACAGGCTGCAGAGATTGCGGATGCCCATTGAAGGACATAAATCCACACCGTGTAGAGGTCAAGCATAGGAGTTTATTACACACAGCGCTGGCGGAGTGTCACCTGGCTTATTAGGCTCAGAGACACTGCCAATCAATTGATTACAATAGAATATATGGATTTTCCATGGGCGGGGGAAAGTGACAGGGTAGGCAGTTCCACACCCCGGGATAGGTTTTGCAGCAAGACAAGATAGCACAGTAGCCAATGGTTAACAGGTTACATAATGTTTCCACCCATGGTCTCAAGTTAGCAAGTTAACATTTAATTAATACTTTGATAAAATGTTATTAGTATAAAATATATATGTTGAATTCTGATTTGGAGTCCATAGGAATGGAGCAACTCCTTTGATTGTCCAACAGGTACATTCCTAGGGGTTAAAACAAAGAAACAGTGAAAGTATATGGCAATAGAGATTGTCTCCTTTATGTCTTAAGGCAAGGCATTGGTCCCTTGGAAAGGGAGGTGGAAAGATGCCATATCTTATACTGACATGTGCCAACTATTCATAAACTCAAGGTTGGATCTGTGGGAAGAATGTTTCCCTACAGGAGAAACTAACACAATAGGAACAAGGATTCTTTGTTCAATCTGCAACTCTGAATAAGATACAATTATTCAGTTCTTAGCTCCAACATCTGGCATTTCTACTGACCAAGCATATCTTTAGCAAAGGCAATGTTTTCTGTTTACCCCAGCTTTCTCTTAGCTGATCACTATTTGCTAGGCCTCTGGTCTCTTAATCATACTTTGGACTTTGGGTCTGGAAAAGAGCTGGCACAATCCATATACCAGGTTGTTATATAAAATGCACATGGATTTTAACCCTTCACCCATACCCAAAGCAGGGCTTGGAAAGGGTGAAAATCCCATGGAAAAATTAATCACCATTCTCCCCAGTTCAAGAGGAGGGAAGGATTTAAAGGTAGACCTGGCCCCGACTCTTATAAAGTTGCTCATGGGGTCCAGAGGATAGAAGCTCTCACCCCAAGACTAAACAGGTTAAATGCTATCACTGTGGGATGCTTGGCCACAGAAAATCAGATTGCCCAACCCTGAAGGGCAGCCCAAACCAGCAACCAAAAAT